CGGGCTTCCTGCATGGAGCCTGCTTCTCCTTCTGCCTGTGTCTCTGCCTCTCTATTTCTCTGTATCTCTCATGAATAAATAAATAAAATCTTAAAAAAAAAAAAAGGAATAGAGAAAAAAAGAAAGAAACCAATAAGAAAATCCAATCCAAAAAAAAAAAAGAAAGAAAGAAAATCCAATCCAAGCATTTTCCTCTTTCATTTTCCTCTTTACCTAGGGCCCAACCCTAGGGCCCAGTTTACCTCGCTGATTGGCCATCACACCCTAGGAAGACTATCTGTATGCACAGCATGAGCCATATCGGCCAACAGGGTAGCATAGTGACTGAAATGACAATCAAATACTGTCAGAGTCTCTGCTGAAACAAGAACTCCATCTGCCACAGCCCTGTTAAGCCACCTAACCAGAGACCGAAGGGCTGAGTGATGCCTGCATTGAGCAACCCAACTAATCTAGTGAATACCTCTGAATAATGGAGTTCAGGGTGGCTATGTAGGATATTGGATCTGGACCATCACAGAAACCTATAGATCAGGGTCCACATGGCAATGCTACTTTATCTCATTTAGAATTGTGGTCTTTTTACATCACTCTATCTTTAGTAAATACATGTTGTTCAAAAGCAGTCAACTTCTTCCTTTCAGTTTCAAACATTTAACTATGATTGAGGAATAAAGATAGATATATAGATTCTGGTATCTCTCTCTGTTTGTTAAAAGTTCTACTTTTTTTTTAATTTTTATTTATTTATGATAGTCACAGAGAGAGAGAGAGAGAGAGAGAGAGAGAGAGGGGGCGCAGAGACATAGCAGAGGGAGAAGCAGGCTCCATGCACCGGGAGCCCGATGTGGGATTCGATCCCGGGTCTCCAGGATCGCGCCCTGGGCCAAAGGCAGGGGCCAAACCGCTGCGCCACCCAGGGATCCCAAAAGTTCTACTTTTTAATAACACCTTAGGTGGACATATGCGCTTCAGTGACTTCTGCTAGGTTGTTAGGCCTAGACTGCAAGCTTAAATAGTTTGGAAAGCTAAAATAAATTAAATTAGATATTAATTAAATTAAATATTTGGAGTTACATAGAAGCACATCTAACTATGTCAGACTGGAACATAGAAAAAAATAAGAAGGGGTTGGCTCAGTCAGTGGAGCGTGCAACTTGTGATCTCAGGGTTGTGGGTTCCAGCCCGATGCTGAGTGTAAAGATTACTTAAAAATAAAACCTTAAAAAAAAAAAAAGCCAAATAAGGAAAACAGGAACCTACACACAGAGAGACATAGCAAGGTGAAGAAATCAGTGACATCATCTTTTTATTTTTAATGGAAAACATGAATGAACAATTTTAAATGATTTAAAATTTAAATGACTTAAAAGTCATTGTAAATGATTCCTCTCCAGATATTTTTTCTATTTATTCTCTAAAAGAACTTCAATTCTTTTGAGAATATCATTGGCAATTTCAACAACTCTGCTGTTTTACTTCTCTGCTTTTTCTTGTTCTTCGCCATTGCTCAAGATTTACCTTTAAAGAAACTTCTGGAGATCCCTTACCACATTAGATTCTGCAAAAAGTATATTCTCAGATTACTAATGTCTCTTCCCGGAAAATCTAGATCTTTTTTTAAGATGAGATGTCTTCTATGAAACTGAATGGTTCTTCTCCAGTATAGTTTTGTTATAAAACTTGCCTATTTTTTTTATTTTTTTTAAACTTGCCTATTTTAAACACACTACACAAATTTACATCTATTTAGGTTATTTATGCAATTTTTATTAATTCTTTGCTATTCAGACCCAAAACTGGTTTACTGGTTTATTCCTAGTACCTGTGGATGTACAATGTTCATTTGGAAATAGAGTCTTTGCACATGTGATCCAATTAAGATGAGATCATACTAAATTACAGCAGGCTGTAAATCCAAGAACTGGTGTCTTTATAAGAGAAAAGAGACAGAGATTTGGATACAGAGAAATGGAGAAGAAAGCCATGTGATGACCTCGGCAGAAACTGGAATGAAGTGTCTACAAGACAATGGCCAAGAGATTGCTGGAAGGCACAGAAGCTAGGAAAAGGCAAGGAAGTATTATTCTTCCCTGAAGCCATCACAGGTAGCATGACTCCGCTGACACCTTGATCTTGGACTTCTAGCTCCAAAACTGTGAGAGAATACATTTCTGTTGTTTCAAGCCAGCCAGTTTGTAATAATTTGTTAAGGCGACCCTGGGACACCAGCATCACACAGCTGGTGAGTAAAGGGACCAGAGTTTGATCTCAACTGCCTGCATCCCAAATATCAAGCACAACCCATAGTCCATGCTCTCAAGGGTGGTATTTGTTGTTACTTGATTCCCAAACCTACTCAGGGTTGCTCCAGACTTCATAAGCTAAGTAGAAGTGTTAAGCCTGCAGAATTCAAGGTAAGAGTTACAGGTGCCCAAACTCCGTGTTATTGTCACTCAGAATTGACACATGGGTGGCTGTATAGGGTGACAGAAAGAATGCTGAACAGCCAAGTGCAGAGACCAGTCGTGATATCCACCAGAATAGGGCTAGGGCAAGTCATTTCACCTTTCTGCCTCTCAGTTTCCTGCTCTGTCAGCAGTCGAACTAAGTATTCCATGTGATTCCAGACAACTGTGTAACCAGCTGGCAGGACCCACTGACCCACCATGGGCTGTTTTTATTTTCACTTTTGTTCCTCCATTTGGTCTGCAAGTTTTATTTTGATTATTCATTTTTTAAAATGTTTTATCACCAGATTGGTCACATTCACATTTAAAGATTCCTTTCTTGTATCTCTCTGTTCATTCCTAGGCATCAGAAATTAAAATAATGGAACTATTTTGATTTCCATATAGTGGCACAGTATTTCTTGCTCCTTCCGAGGTGACAGCAGCTCACACTTTTAAGGAAGGACCCAAGCCGGAACAATGCGCTGGTAGCCACAGCAGGTGCAACAGCAGAACTGTTTCGAAATCAGAGCAATGAACCGTCTCCAAAATAAATATAGTTCAGTGATTAACTATTGAAACCATCCACCATGCAGAGTAATGTAAATACCCAAGTGGGTTGTTTTCCAGGATGACCTTTCTTTAAGAATGTAAAGTAGGCAAAAATGCATCTGCTTCTACAGCTGTGACTGAACAGAATCAAGCCAACTCCCCCAGTGACACATCCTGTCCAATCTGACAGGTGTGGAAAGTAGACATTCTTAGCTGTGAAAGACTATTTCATTTTGACTTGCCCTGCTTTGTGTGTGCCCAAAATAGTGCTATTTGTAGAGTGCTCTAAAATAAAAAATTAAATACAACTGAGGAACTTTCTAGGCACCCTCCTAAACACTGGTTCTGTTTGTTCTCTTGAGGATCCAAGAGCGGAGGAGTATGAAGAAGGTCACTGCATTCGAGAAGGATTCCACTCTCTCCCATGATTCTCTCCCAGACCTGGAGGTAGAGATCCCCACAGCCGCACAGCATCGCAATGACTTCCTTATGTCTTCCTAAATACACAGCCAGGATTGTTACCCATGTTATTATTGTTGTTGTTATCTTTGTCTTTTTTATTATTCTGGTGTAGGAGAATCTGATTTCCTGAGCTTCAATGTGAGATGTCCATGATTATATACACTTAACACACACATGCGCACACACATGAAATTGGGCTCTCAATTGATGAATAAACAAGTAATGTTTATTTAACTCTAAAGGAGTTAAAATTAATAAATACTGAGTGAGTCCTATAACCAAGTACTCTAAGCAAGGTACTCTCAACAAAGTTTATTCTTTCAAAAAATAATTGATTCCAATTATGAAATAAATAAAGTCACAGAGATAAAAGGTACAGGGGATTCAGTCAATGGTATTGTAATAGCCTTGGATGGTGACAGATGGTAGCTACACTCGGGTTGAGCATAGCGTAACATCTAGTTATCGAATCATGTTGTTTTACACCTGAATCCAGTGTAACATTGTGTGTCCACTATACCTCAATTAAAAGTAAGTTAATAAATAATAATATTAAGGAAAAGAGATTATTGAATCCAGGACTAGAGTAGCAGTTAGAAGATAATTAAAGTGACTGCTAATTGGATATGAGGTTTCATTTTGGGATGGTGAACATGTTCTGGAATTGGTGGTGATTGTTGCACAACTTTATGAATATACTAAAAACCACTGAATTATACACTTTAAAGAGGTGAATTTTATGGTATGTGAATTGTATCTCAATTTCTTTAAAGATAGTTAAAGAGTAGCTAGTATGTGCCAAAGAGCCTGAGCTAAGCACTAGCCTTTTGAGCCACCTACTATGTGTCAGACCCTTTACTAGGTCCTTTGCATTCATCCTCTTATTTAATCTGTATAACCTCCCTAGAGGGAGGGAGTATTGGTACCCCATTTTACAGCTGAGGAAATGGATTTAGAGTCTCTTGCTTAAAATCACACATGTAAAATTAAGCAGAATCATGTGAAACTGCCATTTTGTAGGCTATTTTTGTGTTCAAACATCATCAGTTTCTTACAGCTCAATCTAATGAGTAGCTATATCTGTCCAAGTTCCTAACGGTGCACGTGGGAAAACCACTTTGGGGAGACAAGGCAATAAAGAACTATGAGACAGCCAGAGCCTAGCTCCCTGAATGACAGTGCACACCAGAAAGGGCTTCATGTGAACAATAAGCTTCTATTGCATGGAGCCACAGAAAACTTGAGTTTTGTCTGCTATCCCACTGGTACCACTTATCCTAACAAATATGCCAGGGCTATGGAACTCCAGAGACTATGTTCCTACCCGCTGGTAATTTGCCTCTTTCAAGAAGTTTAGAGTCTGGTCACAGATACATGTACAACAGACTAGAATATACTAGAATCAAAGATAAAAATGGCTAAGTTCCATAAAGTGAAAGAAATGATAAATCATAGGGTTAATGTAATAGAGGACACAAAAAAAAACAGTGGGTTAGCCTTTTAGCCAGATCCTCCATCTTCCAGTAACACACCAAGATGACCAACGAGAAGAAAAGAGGAAGGGCTCCGGCTATATGTTCTCTAGGCCTTTTGGAAGATAGATTTGTTCTTTCAGCCGCATCCATGCAAGTGTACAAAACAGGTGATACGGTGGCCATCAAGGGAGTGAACACTGTTCAAAATGAAATGCCCCACAAACGTTACCATGGCAAAACTGGAAAAGTCTACAATGGTACCCAGCATGCTGTTGGCATTGCTGTAAACAAACAAGTTAAGGGCAGGAGGCTTGCCAAGAGAATCGATGTGCGTAGTGAGCATATTAAGCACTCTAAGAGCAGAGATAGATTGCTGAAGCCTCTGAAGGAAAAGGACCAGAAAAAAAGGAAGCCAAAGAGAAGTTACTTGGGTTCAACTGAAGTGCCTGGTGGCTCCATCCAAGAAGCACACTTTGTGAGAACCAACAGAAAGGAGCTTAAGCTGCTGAAACCCACTCCCTACAAATTCATGGCATGATAAAGTGTATAAAAAAAAAAAAAAAGAGGGAAGTCTGGGTGGCTCAGCCGTTGAGCATCTGCCTTTGGCTCAGGTGGTGATCCTGGGGTCCTGGGATCCGGTCCCCGCATTGGGCTCCCTGCGTGGTGCCTGCTTCTCCCTCTGCCTGTGTCTCTGCCTCTCTCTGTGTGTCTCTCATGAATAAATAAATAAAACCTTAAAAAAAAAAAAAGACCTCTAAACTGTAAAATGTTTCTCCTAAGAGAAGTGTGATAGCCCCTCCCCCAAAGAAATATTTAAAGCAAAAACAAAGAGAAAACAGAGGCTTCCCGAAACAAAGGGCTTATTCTTCCTACAAAGTAACAAGCCTGGAAGTGTGAGAATCAGGCTGGAATGCTGTCTCCATGATTCCACCTGGGACCCCACATATGTCTACCTTTCCACTCCGCCATCCTTAGCTTGTGGCCTTCAAGTCAAAGGGCAAAGGCTCATGCTAATCAGAATCAATCCTTTTTAAAGAGCTTCCTCTGAAGCCCCTCCTAGAAAGGACCACAAGGCCAGAACTGTCAGTGGCTGCTGTAGCTTCAAAGGAGAGAGTGAAATGTGATTGGTTTTAAGACGGTCACGTGTTCCACATTCACAAAATCAGAGTTCTCTTAGTAATGGAAAGTGGAAAATGAATATTAGGTCACACGGTCTGCCTCACAGAGGAAGAAAGTCCAAAAGCCTGAGGGGACAAAACATTGGCAAATGTCCACTACAAGGGGCGGCCAGAATTTGAACCCAGGTTTGATTGCTCCAGAGCCATTACTCTTAATCCCAAACCACACTGACTCCTTCATGCATGTTTAGTCTAGAAAAACGTGCGTACTGTTTACCAGAACACAAGGATAGCATACCAGCTTCCTATCGCTGCTGAAACTAATAACCACAAACTAGGTGATATAACACAGATTTCTTCTTTTACAGTTGTGGTGGCCACACGTCTCACGGAGTTTAAGTGCAAGGTGTTGGAAGGGATGTTTCCTTTTGGAGGTTCTGAAAGGAGACCATGTTCCCCGGTCGTCTTGGCTTCCAGCTTCTGAGGGCCACTCACAGTCCTTAGCCCATGGCCCCCTCTGGAGTCCCTGCAACATCACACCTCCTGCTGTAGTCAATTCTCCCTCTGCCTCCGTCTTGTAGGGGCCTTGGGATCCCACTTGCAGCCCATCTGGATAATCCAGGAAAACCTCCTCATCTCAAGGTCTTTAGCTGAATCACGATGGCCAAGTCCTTCTTGCCACGTGACGTACATTCACAGGCTCCAGGGATTCGGATGTGGCTATCCTCAGAGGCCATTATTCAGCCTGCCACAAACAGTACATTATAAATTAATAAGTGCAAGAGAAAAAGGATGACAGCATTGGCAAGTGCTTTGAATAAAATGCTAAAGTAACATGTAGAATCTTAAAACAAACAAACAAAACCAGACTCTTAAATACAGAGAACAATCGAGCCACGTAATCAATACCACGGAAAGAGGTGGGTAGGTAAGGTTGATGGAAGGGATTAAGAGACACAAGCTTCCAGTCGTAAAATAAATAAGCCATGGAGATGAAAAGTGCAGCATAGAGAATATAGTAAAAAATATAATAACGTGGTATGGTGACAGATGGCGATGACACTTGTCATGGTGAGCACGGTGCACAAAATTGTTGAATCAGTACATTGTACACCCAAAACTAATATAAGATTGTATGTGAAGTGTACTTCAACAACACATTTTTTGTAATTAAAAAAAAAATTATTGTTAAGAGAGCTCACGGCGAACCATAGGATTCAGAGGGTCGAAAGAGAGATACTGCTTGGCTAGGCAGAAAGAGGAGCACACACGATTTGGAAATGAGAAAAGTACTGCGGACATTCCAGGGAAGCAAGGCAAATAATCCGGACTAAGAATAGGCTGGGGCAGAGCTGGAAGGAAGAATCTGAGACCAGGAGACTTTGTGAGGGTTTATCTCTAAAGCTGGACAAAAGGAGATTCAAGATCACTCAGGCCCCTGGGGACGTCTGCTCACAAGCATCCTGTGACCTGCTGTACCCTTTCCAGTAGCATAGGCAGCTCCTGCCCCTCTGAAGCTGGGGGACCCACAGGCCAGGCGGAGGGGAGGCAAGAGAGCTAGCTGGAGCGCTCTCAAGGTGGTGCTGCACTGCCCCTGAAATCGCAGGACCCCAAGAGGGAGCGGCTCTGTGCATTCCGTGCCCTAGGCCCCTTGCTAGCTCCTCTCCTAAACCCAGGCCTGGGGAGCTTCTAGATGAGCAAGGCTTGTCTGGGCCTTGACCGGTAACACCTGAACAATGTAGGACGTTTTATTTTTTTTTATTTTATTTTTTAAAAAGATTTTATTTATTTATTCATGAGAGACATAGAGAGAGAGGCAGAGACATGGGCAGAGGGAGAAGCAGGCTCCCTGAGGGGAGCCCATGCGGGACTCCATCCCAGGACCCCAGGATGACGTTTTAAACTGTATACTTTATCAACCTTCCTCCTACCTTCCTCCTGCCCCTTGCAGACACTTTAGTTTCTGAGCCTAGACAATCGTGCTGAAGCAAGACGTTCCCTCACGCAGGGGAGCCCTCAAACAGACGCTGGTTTCCCGCCATTTGCTTTCAGTTAACTCCCTTCACAGTCCATGTCCCTCAAAGATGTAAAAGGAGGCCCCAGCCGGCTGGATCCCCTCCTGCACAGGGGCCCCCCTGACCTCAAGCAGGTCTCTCTGAGGACTAAGGGAGTTGCATAGGAGGCCGGGACCTCACAGCCCTGTGTGAGCCTCCTCCTGTGGACTGGCCCTGCACGCCCCACAGGTTAACGTGGTGGTGAAACGAGGCAAGCTGAAGAAGAAATAAGGGTTGCAGCTCTCCAAGTCTGAACAGGAGTGCTTGTTTTCATTACTTTTAAAAATATGTTGCGGGCACCTGGATGGCTCAGTGGTTGAGCATCTGCCTTCCACACTCAGGTTGTGATCCCGGGGTCGTGGGATCGAGTCCTTCATCCTGCTCCCTGCAGGGAATCTGCTTCTCCCTCTGCCTGTGTCTCTGCCTGTCTCTGTGTCTCTCATAATAAAGAAATAAAAATAAAATCTTAAAAAAAAAAAACATGTTGTTTCTCCTGAGGAAGTTATCCCAGGGAAAGGACAAAGCGTCCCTAAAATGCAGAAGAAAGAAGCCCAGGGATATGCCTGTTGCCCACAAAGACTGGGAAGAGGGGCCAGTCTGGAGGATTGCTGATTGGCCCTTGGGCAGAGTTTCTCAACCCAGAAACTATTGCGTATGGGGTGGAGTAATTCTTTTTCTTTTTCTTTTTTTTTTTAAGAGTTTATTTATTCATGAGAGACACAGAGAGAGAGGCAGAGACATAGGGAGAGGAGAAGCAGGCTCCACGCAGGGAGCCCGATGCGAGACTCCATCCTAGGACCCTGGGATCACGACCTGTGCCAAAGGCAGATGCTCAACCACTGAGCCACCTGGGTGCCCCATGGGAGAAGTAATCCTTTGTTGTGGGGCTCTTCTGTGCATTATAAAATGGGAAGCAGCATCCCTAGCTTCTACTGGATGCCAATGACACCCCTCCCCCAGTCCTGACAACCAAAAAACAGCTCCAAACATTGCCACATATCCTCCAGGAGGCAAAACATTCCCCACTTGAGAATTGCAGCTTTGGGGAGCTGACTTAATCAGAGTGACTTTGCCATCCTAGGACATTCATTCCTGGGAATTCTGAATAAGAAGAAAGATGACGTATCACAGAGCAATAACTCATCATTCGAGTGATCCTAAAATTATATCCGGAAGTATATTACAATGGTATATTTTACATGTTATGTAGGAGCCCTGACTTAGTGTAGGGGGAGGGAGCAAGGGGCCTTACTGTACCCTCACATCTCTGTACACAAACGCTCACCTGCAAATGTTCCCTTCTTGTCTGAAAATTATGCCAGTGGCTATAACTAATTACTTTTTGTTTTAATATTTTATTTATTTATGTGAGAGAGAGAGAGAGCACGTGCAGGGTAGGGGAGGCAGAGAGAGAGGGAGAAGCAGACTCCCTGCTGTGCAGAGAGCCTGATGTGGGGCTTGATCCCAAGACCTTGGGATCATGACCTAGGTCCAAGGCAAACGCTTACTCGACTGAGCCACCCAGGTGCCCCAAATAATAACCTTATAAAATTTATAATGTAGTGAATAATTAGATAATTATAAATAGTTGTCTATCCATAGAGAAGCATATAGAGAGATGACATATGTATTGTTCCAGTTGGCATAGCAACCTGGCTATAGGAGTTCATTTTCTCCAGGTATCAAAGGTAATGGTAAAATGGGTGCTGTTGGTATAGCTTCGGGTGCTTCCACACACAGCAGCTCTCGGGATGTTCACAACAAGGCAGGAAAGTGATTAGTGCCATTTCTTGTGTATTTTGCATCCAGAACGTTCCCAAGGACAATAGGCCCCTAACTACCTCTGTCAGCAGAGAGGATGTACAGGGCCCCTGGAGAGACATCACCTGTCAGGACCATCCCCCTCTGCAGCCCTTGCACTCTGTCTCGTGGCTTTCCAGGTAATGGTGTTGCTTAAAGGAGGCCAGGCTTTCCGGCCCAACCCATCTTCTCTCCTGCTTCCAGCCCATCCCCTCTCCTACTGGTTCTGCCTGCAGCTGCCTCTGCAGCTCTCTCCTCCCAGAACCTCAATTTCAACTGCTTCAAGCCAGCCTCTGAAAATCAGTAAAGTGCCTCCCCTGCTGTCTCCTGTCCACCCGGTGGGGTGATGAGCTCTGCTAGAGCACAGAGATGGACCGTTGCATCCTTGACTGACACCCCCACCCACCCCCGCCAATGAATAAGCCCGGGGATGGGGGCTGGTATCTTGCAGATGCCTCACAAGAGTGAGAAAAACAAACAGCATCAGAGAGGGAAACAGACAAAAAGCTATAATGGGGGGGAAAGACCGTGATTTTTAAAAAAAGGTTCTTTCAAAACAAGCTGCT